CACACTCACACACACACACGCACACACCCACACACTCGCACACACACACACACAAACACACACACACACACACACGCACACGCACGCACACACACACACACACACAGTTTTATGAAGCAGAGTAAACTGAATTGACTGGATCTCCACTGATGGAGCCTCATGATTGCACAGATTACTCATGCAGCACTGATCTCGGGTCAGCGGTCGCTCACACCAGAGGATCTAGCACACGTCCATCAGTGAATCTTTATGTTTGATAGCCCTTCCTCTCCTCCGGTCTCCATGGTGACCCGTCTTCCTCTGAGACGACCTCGTGACCTTTCACACGGCAAACGCGTTATGAATCATCCTGCGATTTCACAGATTTCACGAGACCATCATGTCACACAAACAGCAGAAGAACACCAGCAACATCTCCGTCTGAACTGCATTTCATCACAGCCTTCAAATCACAGACAAGTTTGAGCAAAACTCTGATAATTGATGCTCTTTGTGCCAAGACTCGATTCTGGCATCACTTCAGACGCAAACTGAGTCTGTTTATGGAGTTCATGTTTCTGAGAGGTTGATTACATATGGTGGTCAGCGTTGCCCTGGGCAACCGGGTATTTTTTTTGGTCTTGTTTTCCAATACATCTGCCAGTGGGCTCAGAAAAATCTATGTAATTAAAAGAGAAAACAAGTGTTCATTCCCCACTGACAGATATTGTTTCTCCAGTAAATGTGTCTTGATTTATGAATTAGACATTTGAACTGGAAAACAAGACAGAAGAAACACAGGAGGTACAGTAACAGTTATTTCCATATTTTAGTGTTTGTGAGCAGTGACGGATCTGAGGACCCTCAAATGCAAACTGAGTGTGTTTTGCCTCAAGAGAGCAACCATACATTTGTGTTGTGTTTTACGTCCTTTTTTATATTCCTTTATTCTTCGTACTGTTTTGTGTTCAATCTCTGGATGGACTCAATGTGCCATAAACCTGCTCCAGCGGGCGAGTTGAGGACACAGTTCTGTGCTTGTTTGCTTTGCCGGAAACAACCTGTCAACACACGGTGACGTCACGAGAAACACAAACCGGAGGAAAACTCGAAACCAGAGCGGATGGAGCCTCGGGAAATATGATGCTTCCAGCCATTTCATTGTCAGAGAGTCACAAAAGAATGAAAACTGGTTTGTGGAGAATTACTAAAAAAACATTTGTAAAAATCTAAAGCTGTTAGCTAATTGATATAGACTGCATTTCAGAGCTAATGTGAGTGTCACAAGTCCACGCCGGAGAGAACGCACAGAATCAGCTCCTGGAATAATCTCAAACCAGATCCACGACAAACACGATCCTCCGGAGGGTCACACGATCTAAATCAACTCTGAAGCCTGCTTTCAGATTCGGTTTGCATTTCTTCACCATTCCACTCGATCCCAAACCGGAAAAACCAGGCTTTCCTCTGAAAAACAAACAGCTGCCTCAGGAACTCATCTCTAGCTAACCCATCTGAACGGTCTAAACCAATTAACAGCGTCTTCCCATCGGCGCTCGTCTGGAACACGACTTGGGCTTTTCTGCCTCGTGCGCATCAGAATGTATAATTCAAGATCGACGGCTTTTTATTATTATTATTATTATTATGATGATGGAATGTTCAAATGACATGCTAGCGACATGCTAGTAACTTGCTAATCGTGCTAGCAACATGCTAGTCACTTGCTAAGCATGCTAGCAAAATGCTAGTAGCATGCTAACCATGCTAGAAACAGGCTTGCAACATGCTAGTAATGTGCTAATCATGCTAGTGACATGCTAATCATGTTAACAACATGCTAATCATGCTAGTCACTTGTTAGTCATGCTAGCAACATGCTAGCGTCATGCTAGTAATTTGCTAATCATGCCAGCAATATGCTAATAGTAAAACATGCTAATCATGCTAGAATCATGTTATCAACGCCTATCTAATCTATCTACATTTCAAACTTCAGGCTTTTAGAACTGCTTTAAACTTTCAGGCTTTCTCACGCCAACCTAAAGTTTATCTTGACAAACTATTTTATCTAGTTTAAGATATGCTGCTGCCTACAGTGAGTTCTTCACATCAGCATAATGCTGGTGAAAACACACTCACAACACCATATCTGAACAAACAGCTCACGTGACACACGTAATCAGACTAGATTACTCCATCACACAGCAGATTTACAGCGCTGCTGATGATAGCGAGCAGTAATAAAGTTCACTCACAGAGACTCGGTGACGCTGCAAAGCTGCATTTTCTGAATAAAGCGTCTCGTTAAAACAGAATCCGGCGGCGCGGACTCAGAAACACTGGAGGACTGCTGCTGTGAATACACCGGTGCACAGGTTCATACCGCGGTAATTCTAATGTGACTGCACAGATTGGGCTCATTTTCGATTCTCCAGGATTTCCCCTGTTGAAAAAAACAGCATATGCTGGTTAGGTATGTTTTGACGCTGGGATGCTGGGTTAAGCTGGTCCTTTGCTGGTTTATGCTGGTCATGTGCTGGCAAAGGACCAGCATAAACCAGCAAAGGACCAGCTTAAACCAGCAAAGGACCAGCTTAAACCAGCAAAGGACCAGCTTAAACCAGCAAAGGACCAGCATAAACCAGCAAAGGACCAGCTTAAACCAGCAAAGGACCAGCATAAACCAGCAAAGGACCAGCTTAAACCAGCAAAGGACCAGCTTAAACCAGCAAAGGACCAGCATAAACCAGCAAAGGACCAGCTTAAACCAATATCCCAGCGTCAAAACATACCTAACCAGCATATGCTGTTTTTTTCAACGGGGTCCTCAGCTGCTAAAGACATGCGTGTGTTATGGAGACTAATTAGATCTGTTTGAACTAGGTTTTCCCCTCGTGTCGTTGCATAAGCTGCACGTTTCTGATTCATCTGTTTATATATTTACAGCCAAACCAAAAATTATTCATACACCACATATAACTTTTGATATTTGTTTACTAGACACTATAGTTCATTTATGTCAAAATAAAGTAAACTGTGACCGGTAACACATTTTATTTTATTTTAGGGTCTCTCAACTAGTTGCTTATTAGCATGCATATTACTAGAATATTAGCCATTTATTAGTAATTATCGCTTCTGAGCGCAAACAACGCTGATTACGTTGATTATTTTCTGGGGAAAGTGCGCACATGCATCCTGGTACTCTCCAAAGCTGAATTTTTGGTTGATTGTAATCCAGTACATACCTTTCTATCAAAGTTATCTGACATTATCGAGATGCATTTGTTCTGACACTGAGTTCTTGTCATACTTTATTACCATTAACTATAGTGAATAAACTGTGACAATGTGAGCAATGTTGAAGGTGTCTGAATGAATGTTGGTTTAACTGTCTCCTACAGCCTAGAATTAAACTGCTGGCCAGAGAACGGAGCACTATTTCCCTGTTTAATACCGTAGAGCTGCTTTGGCACGATCTGCATTATAAATGCGCTATATTGACTTGACTCGTATCTTCACTAATAATGTAAGAGATGCACAGCATAAAGAAGAACTCGCTCTTGCAGGATGTGTGCGCCTCAGATAACTCATATTTTGCAGTATTGATCATCTCGATCATGTGTTTAGTGTACTGATCTTCACTCACCGTCCTGCAGGCTTGCGGCAGTGTTTGTGGACGACTGCAGCGCTGCAGTGACCAGCGTCCAGAGGAGCGTCAGGAGCAGAAAGCACAGCATCACGCGTCTGCAACACACACACACACACACACACACACACACACACTGCAGGTTACAACTATTCAGTTCACATTTACTTTTAGTGCTTTTCAAGTTCAAGTTCATTCACAACAGCCACTAGTGCTTTACAGAAGAGCAAGATTATACAACATACATCCAGAGGCGGACAGTAATGAAGTACATTTACTCGAGTATTGTACTTAAGTGCACTTTTCGAGTATCTGTACTTTACTTCAGTATTATTTTTTCTAGAAACTTATGACTTTAACTTCACTACATATTTTCACTCCACTACATTTCTATCAAGGTCCTCGAAGCAGAAAGTCGTTATTATGTAGCAGCTTTGAAAGTCTTTGAAGTGATTTCCCCGCATTTTTAAACACTGACCAGTTGTAAAGGTGATATTTATTTACAACAGTTCAATAATAAGAAGTTAATATTGTGGTATGTATTAGACACAATATTGTCTGATTTAGCAAAATTGTGTAAATGAAACTATTACCTAAGAACTGTTGTGCGTCTCCTTACAAAATACAATAGATGTTTGACTTGAAGCAGCACTGTGTATGACATCAAAGTGCAGCGAGAGCATTTTTATTTGCTCTGTTTTATTTTGTGAAACCTTGCTACGTATATGGAATAACCGTTTAATAAAAGCAATAAGCCCCGTGTAGCCTCAGTTTACAGTGAATTAACCTAACAACGCCCCTTAGCTTTTATAAATTCACTGTAAACCACGGCTTCTTGGGGATTATTGCTTTAATATACTTTTCACAATAAAGCTTTACAGAGAGTGCATGTTTCTACATTACAAGCCAAAGTGGAAACAAAACACAGTCTTCATCTACACTCACGCATGAGGTGCACACATACATGTAACATTTAGACCGACGGTGACACGCACAACATGATGATGATGTTTCAAATGTCAGCTCTTTTTACACGCGTACAACTTCAGAGACGAACAGTATATGTGCAAGCCTATGATCTGTTGACAAGGGCTGATGGGAACTGGAAATACTGGAACCTTCGCCACACAGACTCAATGTTTGAAACCTCATGACAAAAGACTTTGAACATATAAATTCAGTCAATGCCTGTTTGCTGAATGTGTAATCACACACGACTGAAGATAAAGCGTTTGATGATGCATTTACACAATCGTTTAGCAGGTACACCTAAACAGTCAGCACTGCACAGCCATCCCAAACTGCCTTTACTTCATTATCAATGATGTTTCAATTGCATATTAAAAAAATGGTTAAAAAGGGCAAGCATTAATATTCCCTCTGGCCTCTTATTCCATCTCACATAACAAAACATAATTAACACAACAGTAAAATCAAATCTGTGAACTCCATGAATTCAATATTCAATCATCCTCAACAGAGCATTTGTTACTGTATGTATGATAAAGGGATTGTTTACCCAAAAATGTCATAATTTACTCGCCCTCATGTCCTTCAAACCTGCATGACTTGAAGATGTTCTGGAGAACGTTAGGAACTAAACAACATCACTGACTTTGACTGCATGCACAAACAAAGACATTGTTGGGAATATCCTGAACATCTATAAAGTCAGACAGGTTTGGAAGAGCATGATGAACGCTCAAAATCTGAATAAATAACAGATGTGCAAAAACATGCAGGCTTTCATTTACGTCAGTCACGTCCTCGTGATCATACGTCAATGATATTAAAGTCATGAAGAATAAAGAGTCAATTTATGAAGCAGATAGACACACACACACGTCTCCTCTGATGGTGAGAGTCATGAGACTGATCACAGGACTCGGCCTTCTGTCGCCTGCAGTCTCACTGACCCACATTAAACACAGTCGGTTTGAGACGACGAACACAAACGTTCCTTTCTGATACAGATCATTTAAACAAGAGGAGGAAATCATCACAGCCTACAATAACTATATTTGACCATTAGTTAACAATGCAATAAAATACAATACTTCAATTATCCAATACATTTTATTTCTATAGCACATTTAAAACCACTGACGTTGACCAAAGTGCTTTCCAGCATCATTACATGCAGTCACACAAACAAAAACCTGATCCCTCTAATCAATTCTAAAAGCTCTACTAAAAAGGTACGATTTCAATCTAGACTTAAAAGCATCCACAGATGGGGAAGATTCCATAATATGCACTGGAAGAGGGTTCCATAATCCCTGAGAAAGCTCTATCACCCTTTGATTTTAATCTCGTTTTAGGAACATGAAGAATCATCTGATTCGAAGATCTCGTGTTTCTTGTATTTTGATAAGGGATCAAAAGGTCAACGATATATTTTGGGGCAATGCCATGCAATGCTTTAAAAACCCTCAACAACACCTTCAATTACATTTTACAGGCAAACCAAGACTGGGGTAATTCTCTCTCTTCTTTGTGCGAGTCAAAATTCTGGCAGCAGCATTTTGTACTAATTGAAGACGAGATAATTGACCCTGTGAAATACCTATATATACACAGAATTACAGTAATCGATGCGTGATGATACAAAGGCATGAATAATAGACTCCAGGTCCTTAAAAGAGGGAACTGATTTCAGTTTAGAATTAATTCTGAGTTGATAAAAGGCAGCCTTCACAACACTAGTAACCTGTTTATCTAAAACTAAAGCTGAATCCATTATAACACCCAAATCCTTGACATGATCTGAAACACTTATCTTCATAGAGGCCAGCCTACTTAAAATGTCCTTGGAAGCAGAAGGAGGTCCAAAGACAACACACTCAGTCCTATTAGTATTAAGGTGAAGAAAATTGCTTGCCAACCAGCCTTTTATTTCATCTAAACACTGAGCAAGTCCATTAAAGGGCTGAGAGCCATTTGGATCTATTGGAATATATAACTGTGTGTCATCTGCATATACATATTATTATATTTATGAAAAATTGAGCCCAAGGGTCCCATATATAATGAAAATAAAATAGGCCCAAATATAGACCCCTGTGGCACACCACTATGTAATTTAGCTGATGTAGGACACAAATCTTCAAGGCAAACCGAGAAAGATCTATGTTTTAAATATGATTTAACATTTAACATGATTTCAACAGAGGTGAATCGAGTTATGACGTTATGATGAAGAATTGAGAAGACAAACATGATCAATCAATAGCTATGTTTCCATCCACCTTTTTTTATGTGCATATCGCATAAATAAATGCCAAGATGCACATCAGTTTAAAAAATGTGCATAAAAAAACGTATGTGCTCTCCTAAGTAGCATACATGTTTTATCCGGTAAGAAAACGTGCATAAACTACGATAGAAACACTTTTACCGAATAAATTCCTTAATGCACATAACTGGACCAACCAATGGACCGATCTCATCGCACAGCATCTGAAATGCTTGAGCAAAGTCTCGTCAAAGTGCTTCGTTATAATTAATGCCGAGAATTGCATTCCCAAACAGCAGGCTCCGAAAATAAGATAACATGACCGCGTTTTGTCTGTGCGATCTGAAGCTCGTAATTTATAGTATACACAAATTATTATATACTGTACAGTCCTACTGCAGCAAATACAGTTTTTCTTCTTGATGTTTAGCGCAAGATAATCAGGAAGTTTAATGCACTGGATGAAAACAGTGCTTTATTCGCAAATGTTTTATGCAATATTCCAATTTTGCGCATAAGTTTAATTCGTAAGTTTGGATGGAAACATAGCTAATCACAATGTCCTGTTTAATACTGTAAAGCTGCTTTGACTCAAACTGTATTGTAAATACAGTAATTGTAAATTGAAGGGAGTAATTTGTCTGCTAACATTAAAGATCCCTTCAATCCCATCAGATCTCCTTCACTGCAGAAATACAGATGGTCAAAGCGGAGAAAGAAAGTTCAGGGGATTCAATATTCAGTCGACGGTAGTAAACGCATAATTAATCTCCACACCGTTTCCTCGAAAGACCAAAGTTTGATCTAATAATGTTACACAAAAGCAGAGTGACGACATGCATGTGTTATAAAAGCGTCTTTAATTAGTAAAGCTCTGTAATGAAAGCCGTGATTGTGCTGGAAGAAGCGGTGATCCGTGTTCATGTATGTGGACGTCTGCTGGGGCATGATGTGACTGCTAACGCTCTCTCCGCGCATGCTAGTCATTATCTGTATGAACTCAGACCTGCTCAATGATCCCAAACACACAAACACAAAGAGCTTCGGAAGTGAAAAAATGCCTTTTCTGAAGCTCCCGCACTGAAGCTCCTGCATGCATTCGGACTAAAGCTTGTCCAATATCTGGAGGAGCTTAAGAGCTTAAAAAGAACAGCAAGAATGACCAGAGATTTACCGGCCGGCGCTATTGTCACCGGATTACACCGACATGACGGATCATCTTTATTCTCCCATCAATCCAGGGACACTATTAACCAGTACTGACACTACTAACTCAACCACTCCATCAGCATGGGCTGATAATCAATGAATGCCATTAATGACGTGAAATTTATATTTCAAATAATAAACTCACAAATCAAAGAGATTTCAGTGCATTTCAAGAACAATCTGTAGAAACACGGCTGAATATACCATTGTAAACATTAAGGATTTTTTAGATATTGATTTTCACAGGTGTTTTACCTGTATTTTTAATGATGCATTCTGCATTCATTATTTGTTTCCATCCCATCTTGTCCCATCTATATTTATATTCCCATCTTGTGAATGCAGATGGCGGATGATTGTTCTGCGGGTTCTGGCACTAATCTGATGTCCAGATCGGGCTGCACACACTCACTGACCACCTTTATCACGTCACTTCAGCCAACCGCCAGATGGACGTCTAGAGTCGAGCGATGACACACTCCATTAATTAGCTGCTAAATAAGCTGCTTTTGTCTGCTGAGGGTCATAATGACAAAAAACAAGGCAGGTTAGAGAGTGGGTGGAGTCAGTCAGTGGGGAGGTTAGAGAGTGGGTGGAGTCAGTCAGTGGGCAGGTCAGCGGGTGGGTGGAGTCAGTCAGTGGGGAGGTTA